CTAGGTTGTGTAAAACTCTGCAGACATCCTTCAATATCCATTGTCTCTTTCCTCTTTAGTTTTGGAGTTGTAAAGTTTTAATGAGATCATGGCTAGCCAAAAAAGAAAACGTATTATTTAGACTTGTTTATAGTTGGTATTGCCTGTTCCTATGCTCGTTCAATAAGATATAAACACAAATGGTGAGTGCCACTTCTAGGATGCAGTCCTGAAGGAAAGGAACATGCACTTCTCATCCTTATTTTTCTTTCCTTCTTAATACAATGTAGTTGTGATGGCAGGTAGTGTTGCAACTACACTGTATCTCAGAGTAAATTTAGGCGAGACAATGCATAGCAGAATAATATATTAGAACTCAGCCCTTGAATGTTGTGGTAGAGTTTTCATATTAATCCTAGACTGCAGCATGAGTTAGGTGGACAAACAATTTTGTTGAAACTATTGTCACTTGCAGCAGAACTTAGTCTAGCTAAATCATAGGAGATAAAAGAAAAGCATTTGCAAAACCCAAAGGTAAGCAAAGGAGTATAATACTTTCATAGACTTCAAGATATTTGAAAATGGTAGAAGGATAAAGATAAAAACAGTGATAAACTGACTACAGAAGTAGACACAGGCAGGGACTAGACTGAGAAGGAAGAGATTAAAGCAGGACAATGACATGACCATGGTTATAATTTGGAAGAATGCCTCAGCTGTAGTATATTGAATGTATGTAATCCGGGATGCTAAGAAAGAGAGTATTATGAGGCCAATGTAGTAATTCTGGGCAATAACGCTGGAGGCCTCAGGTACAGAATATCAGCAGAGATGGAAAGACGTGGAATGGCTGAAGACTGGGCCTGGAGGAATGTCCTTGTCTCTGTTTTGGTCAGGTTAGAGCATATCCCTATTCTAGATGTTTAGCTTGTGCTGTGGGTATGCCTTTAGCTCATTGCCTTTTGTCTGGTTCCCCAAAACAATCTCTAGTTATTACAGTTGTCATAGACCACTGATTCCTAGGGAAGTGACACTGCTTATTTAGTTCAGAGGATTCTGGAAATTTTTAGAAAAATCATTGTGCACTGTGATCAGGACAATATTAGGATTAGGTGATCAAGAGATGATAAATAATCTATGAATCTGGTATAATTTCTCACAGTAAAAATTGTTTTATGCCATTTCAAATGTCCAACAAAACTAAACCCACTTTAAATATAACTTTTGTAAATTTTTTAGTACATATAATAAATAATTTTTGATAAAATTACTTGAAATAGAGACAAGTAGGTTTTGTTGTGTGTGTAATACTGGGCATCAAATCCAGGGCCTTCATGCTGAACTACTTCCTCAGCCTTTTTTACTTTTTTTTAGTTTGTGACAAGGTTTTGTTGTCATTAAATTGCCTAGATTATGCTTGAATTTGCAATACTTTTGCCTTAACCTCTGAAAGTGCAGGAATCGCAGGTGTGCACTGCTATGCCTTACTTGGAAGAAAAAGTATGTATGTACAGAGATTAAATAATGTAAAAAACAATTATAAAAGAGTAGTTTTTAGCAAACAAGTGTTTTACTGGAATGACAATAATAACAACAAAGAAAATAATCCATGAGAAGATAGTGGATAGCTGTGGAGGAGTCAGAATTTGAAGACTTACCATCCCAGAGTAAAATGAACCAGCTTTCTCTACACTACTTCTGTTCTCAGAAGTACTTACTGATTCTTGGCTTTAGCATAAGGAGCTGAGAAACTGGGCAGAAAGTGACTATTCTTTTCATCATCATTGGGAAGGATGACCTATTTGGATTTCAACTAGGCCGTTAGCTGGTATGACTTGATCTTGGCATTTTCAGTGACACATAAGAGCAACCCAATTCCCTGGTGCCTAAGAATTACCACACATCTGACATTCTGGAAGGGCTGCACAGGCCAGAGGATTTCCTTCTACCTGAGTCTTTTCTCAGTCCACCACAGATGAGTCACTGATATAGATGGTATGGTATGCTAGCTTGTTAACAGCAATGGAGTTCTTGCCTTCTGGCCTCGAATTATCCAACTCATGAAGATCTTTTTTGTAGGGGCACTTATGTTACCAGTTGTTTTAGATTTGGTTTTCCCATAAAGTAATTTATCTTTTCAAGGCAGCTACCATTATGAACAATTGGAGCTTACTACTGTGGAAAAACTATGAAAAAGTGATGTAACACATTTATCTATTATATTACCCAAGGAGAAAGGCAGATGGGGTATTAATGCATCAGATATATCCACAAGGGCTTCTGAATTGTTTCTGGGCTGCCATGTACACCCAGGAAATGTAGCCAATAAACTTCCAGAACAGTTACACAGTCATAGAGGTGTAAATGGTGGCATTTATGAGTGCTAGAGCAAATGGAATGATGCATATAATGTCTGCATCACCTAGAAACACCACAGAGGTAACTTACATTCTGACTTTAAGATTTTGGAGAAGCAAAAAGAAAATGTTAGTCAAGAGCATCATCTAAAAGTTTATGGAGGAGGTTATTGGTTTTAAAAAAAGGGTAATTCTACCTCTCCTCAGAAAAAAGTTAAAGACAAATACAAAATTTAAGACAAACAAAAGAGCAGGGGTATTTATAATTCTAAAAGAGCATATGAGAGTGAAAGGCAGATGATAGAAACTTGGCCGCAGGATAGGAGTCAAGCCTTGGGGCATAGAGAGGAAATTGCTGATGAGTAATAAACCAGCTCACTTGGGTGATCTCCAGAAAGCTTCAGTAATTGAATGTACCAGGTGCCAAGAAAGCATGAAAACAGAGGTAGAGGAATGCGCTGGTGGGGGGTGGGAAGAGACTGAAAAATACAAGGTTACTGGAAAACTTGTATAAGGAGTTATCATCCTCACGCTGGGTGGTAGTTTCTTCATTTCTGTGCCAGCAGATTAGCAGAGCTCTGGCACATCAGAGCCTAAAAGATGGCAAGTCTAAAATTGAAGACTGAATAAAAATGAAAAAGCTGAAAGGTGAGGCTCCAACCTGTTTCTCCAGACTGTTCTAGACTATTAAAAACAAAGTCCGAAATAAATTGTAGTTAAATAAAGACCTAGAAGTTAAGACAGAGAATAGCTTTTTTAAAAAGGCTATAACTAATAATATGAGAGATGAGACCTTCTCTGGTACTAATGAGTAAGATTTAGGATGCTATAGGATAGATGATTAAATAACAGTAAAGAACTCTTATAAGTTAAAACAAAATGACAAAAATGTGAAAGTTGAACATGCCATAGGAAGTAGATTAAAAAGTCAAAGGATGAGCATAAAGAAGAAATTAAGAAAATAAAATAACCAATTGAGTATGAGGTACAGTAAAAATATTTCATTAGGGAGGTTGAGGCAGGAGGATCATTGCAAGTTTGAGACCATCCCGGGCTACATAGTGAGCTCAAGACCGGAGTGAACCTTGCAGCATGACCCTGTCTCAAAAAGACAAAAAAAGTTCAGGCAGGTAAAATTTAAAAAATATATCTGCAAAGCACTCTGTTTTTAGATCTGGAAGAAGTGCTTTATTGAATTGAAGACTAAAGAGAAAAGAAAGCAGTTTGACTGAGAAACAAGAAAACCAACTGAAGAGAGTAGAAGGGAAGATTCAGGTCAACTGCTGCTGCACCCCAGGACTGGAGCCAGCCAGTCCAGACTAGAGCAGAACAAGGAAAGGAAAACATTTAGTAAGTTACCTGTCAGATTTCACCATGAGAAAAATCCTGTTAGGCAACATTTTATAGAGCTTTTAGAGGATATAGAAAGAAAATTGAGAAATTAAGAAAATGAAATTAAGGGCAAAATGAGATAATTCTTAACTCTACAAAAAAAAAAAAGTTTTACAAGAATGTAACCATAATCACAGTTTGCTACTTGGTCAGTGCAAGCAATTTTAAAACAGCTAAATAGTGCCTAAAAGTTGTGATTAAAAACATTGAAGATATAGCAGGAGAACTGAAGTCCTCTCTTACTGTAGAAACAAGTCAGTAGATACTGTTTAAAATTCAAAAGATATTAGTAATACATAAATTATTTAGGGTTGCAGAGATGGTCATGGCATGTAGGTAGCTAAGAGGTAAGGTGACTGCTTCTTCAGAGTGAGATGGGGTGAAAGGCTGTTCATTTTATCATGACCTTTGAACTCCATGAGTTTAGATGCAGCACAAATTGGATGGAATAAGAATGCAGATGCATTCAGAAAATGGGAGCTTCATAGCACAGCCATGGAGTCTAGCGTGACCCTGCTCATTTAGAAAATGTATTCAGACCAACCCGCTAAAAAGGAGAATTGTCCAGAAGGCATAGGAAAGAATGCACAGTAAGATTAGATTGCTGAAAGGATGGAAAAAATAACTCTCATTCCAGGACTTTTAAAAATGGATGAGATAATAAAATGTATTTGAATAGATTAAAAGTCTTCTAAAATTTATTGCTTCTCTAATTTTATTATTCTTCAGTGCTGTGAAACAGTGGTGGTGGGGTAAAATTGATCTGACACCACTACTCAAGGCATTTGCTCTAGCAGTGTGCTGTAGATGGTACAACTCTTTTGGGGGAGTTTAATTCCCAAAAGTGTTCAGCAACACCAGGAAGCATAGGCTCCCCTGGGACAGGCACTGAAGGTAATGAAGCTTGACACCATCCGAGCTGATTTGGCATCTTCTGAAGTGTTTCTATACAGGTAGGGTAGCTGGAACCTAGATAACCTTTTTACTACATTTTCCTTAGAGTGTTTGAAGCCCTATTTTCCCAGGCACATACTCGTGTCTTTAGAAGATTTATGAAGGAAGACAGATACAAGAATGACTTTTCTTCCCTTATCGGCTTTGTCTCAATTATCTGTTCTCATAAGATTATTTGGTCACATTCCATGTTATCCTACTCTACTTTAAAAATAATAGGAAGCTCTCTTTTAAATCTGTATAAGTCAAAGCTTACTAAAGAAACAGATTTAATGCAACTTATAAAAATATATAAGAATTTCCAACATTGGATTGCAGTGACCATCCATAGACTCAGGGATAGAAGAGTGCAAAATGTCAGACTGCGCATTGGAAATCCGAAGGATCCAGTTGAAAGCCTGGAGCTCCCTGTACTGTTCTGTGCAAGCCCATATCAGGAGGCTGATGGTTCTGTCCTGGAGGCTGGAGTCTGTGGTGGAAGCCTGGAGACACTGTCCAAGGTCAAAGCAAAGACTGGAGGCCCTCAGAAGAAACACCGGTGAGCTTTCCTTCATTTGTCCTTTATATCTTTCAGGCCACAGGCTGCTGGGGTGGGGGATACTTCCATCTTCAGTAAATCCCCTCAGATGAACTCAAAACTATGCCAATCCAATTTATTTGGGTGTTTCTTACTCAAATTGACACAATCAGGTAACTATTATACAACCACACCTCCTTTAAATTAACTTGTGCTTTAAAAGAAGTTTGAATTCTCTTGTTTGTGCTTGTTAAATATTTGCAGGTAAATATTTAAAGGAAACAGTTCCCAATGTGTCAGGACCTTGAATCTCTGACTAATGGCTAAAGAAGCAATGCACACAAGACATGGTGGCTGTAGTAAGCAATAGTATAGTGTTTACATGAAATTTGTTAAGAAAAGAGATCTTAAATGTCTTCACTCTCCCACACACAAATGGCAACATTTTGCTGTGGGTGTGTTAACTAATTTATACTAATCATTTCATAATGTTTACATATCAAATCATGTCATACTCCTTAGATATATACAGTTTTTACTTGCCAATTATACCATGATAAAACTATAAAAAAAAAAAACCCTAATAGTAGACCCCAGGATGTTTCCTTACCATATCAAGAATTTTTTCCCATAGATGGTAGTAACAGCTTTTCTCAAATTTATGGTTCTTTCTTTTAAAAAAAAGTCTTATAGAAGAAAAAACTGTCCCATATAGGAGTGCCTCCCATGTAGTAAACATAATGTGTGGCTTTTATCGTTACTGTTTGGTTAGAGTCCAGCCTTTGTGATATCACTGAGTAATCACAGAAGGCCTTTAAGATACACTGTGAACTGCTCATCAGCTAATATGACATTAGATAAAGATTAGTGCTTAAGATCACTTCAATTCCAAAATTTTGTGGTCTAAAACAGTCGAGATGTGGGACCATGTTTTCAGCAGCATTGGTTTTCCAAAGATTATGTCCTAGTGGTGCTAACTTCGACTTCTTGGTGTGATGAATATGATGCTTTTCCATCTTCTGCAAAGGGAAACAGCTAGTTATGAATTAGAGTCAACTGGTGTTAGTGGCAAAATACCCAATCTACATTGATATGTAATTTCTGCTGATGGTAGATCCAGCTCTTTCTTCTAGCTATGGACAAGAACGTCTGTCCACAAGTTCATGCATTAAAAAGAGGGACCTTTTTGTACAGATAGCAATTTGTTTTGAAATTAATGAATAGTAAAAGGATCATTTATAAAAATTTTAGTTTTAGCTCTTAAGGTGCACACTTATTACTGTCACACTAAGAAGACAAATTTTAATGCCACTTTTAAATAAATCATGAATATAACATATTTATTAAACATGTACCATAAATTAGGTATTGCTGTGGATTCCCTAAAGAGAAAATTCACAAAACATGGCAAAAATCAAACACCATTTTAAAAATGTTTAAAATATTTTATTCATGTACATGATAATCTCCTCAGCCCAAAAGGTGTCTGATATGTAAAGGCAGCAAATCAGCTGATAACATAAAGGTATTCGTTTGGGGTTTTAAAATATGACAGCATATACTGTACTGATAGCTAGCATTTGATTAAGCTCTTGCTGTGTGTCACTCCTGGTGCTTTCTCTTTTTATCCTCACAGAGGTAGTGCAAATTTGACAAACTAGACTCTACAAAAGCTACATAGATTGCCAAAGTTGATACAAATAGTCAGTGGTGGCATGGAGACCTGAAGTGGGATCTGTTCACTTCCTGTGGCAGCAGCTTGGGTCCTGGGTCTGTCTATGTATGTTGTCACAGATTCCTATAGCTCAGTGGCAATGAAGTAGAATTGTTGAGGTCTTTGGTCATCTGGTTCCACCGTAGCGTCTGGATATGCACTTGCACAGTAAGATGACCAACAAAGATCTTGAAACAGGCAACTGTCTTAGAAGTAAGGATCTGGCACTTAGGTGCCTGTGTGTAGGAGAGTACTTGTTATCAGCCATGTCACTACTTAATTAACAGATGTTGTCTAGGTGCTCAGGAGCTGCCTAACCACTTTTCTCAGCTCTGCCTTTAATTTTTGTAACCAGTAGAAACCCAGACCCTCCACAATGAATACAGCCGGAGTTTGCTTCCTCTTTTAATCATGAGGGCAACTGGCTCTGAGTAAAGGATATCTTTAATTTTGTGGAGACTTCTTTAGTTCTCAGATGCACATGCCCTTGGTCCCAAGAAAAGGTTAAATAATATATAAAATAACTGCTTTTTAATTACATTCAGTGTTCAAATTACACGTTTCTATGCCATTCACTGTCAATAGGATGTTCTCAAGACATTAGCATTAAAAGCAATTTATCCACATGCAAGAAGTAAGAAGTTCACACATTGCTACTTTGTTGTGTCCTGTTGTGTTCTGGTCAATGACATAGAGCCAACAATAGCTAATATTGATGGTAAAATCTCTATAGTTCTTTATGACTTATAAATGAAACTGTAGAATTATTATAAGCCTGCAGTATATCACACTTCTCCTTCTTTTTTTCCTAGAGGTGAAGAAACAAACACTCAGGTGAGTTACATCATTAATTAATTAATCACTCATATGACAATATTCAGAATAGAATAGTGTTATGAGCACATGACTTGGAACTAAACTTTTAATTCCATTTCTGTTATTTACTAACAGTATGATATAGAACATGACTTTTAGCCTCATTAAACATCAATTTCCTTATCTGCATTGGGGTAATCAGAGTACCTATGCACAGAGATGTGATGAGAGTTAAATGAATTAATTTGTGTGAAGTATTACCCACAATAGGTGAAATATAGCTGTTAATAAAGTGTGATTGATATTGGGATGTTAATATTACTGTGTTTCGGCCTATCTGCTATGATATGTGCTAATGATATAATACTAAATGACACAGACACAGCTTAATGCCTGGGCACAAATGTTTTCAAGTAGTAGGTAAAAGAGATAACACAGATTTTCTACTTCTTAAGGCTTAAACCAATTTAATTTAAAGTGGATCAATCCCTTTGCAGTGAAGAAAAGTGGGAAATCAAAAGAATTGCTAATATAAAGCTAATTTTAAAAATGCAAATGTCTCAGCCATTCCAAGTGAGCATGGTATTGCTGGATTCTGGACAGAACTCCTGTTCCTTAAAGTAGTGGCCATTCTGATTCTAAGCATATGGACTGGAGTGCAGTAGAGGTGGTTTGGACTGTGATTGGCTGATCCTTTTATCGCAGACTCATTACATATGTACAGTTTTCTTGGGCAGGTGTTGAATAGCAAATTTATCAATGATGTATTGCAAAGATTATTCATCTTGAATAAGATACAATATTGCAAACTGTCTTGTTTAACAGGCTTCCAGAGTAGTTATAGTTTCCATAGAAACAGGAAAAAATCTTTTATTTAATATAATCCTAGAGGTCTCAGTAGACCTGAAAAATATGCCACGAACTGTCAAAGCACTGTTCTAATGACTTAAGGAGAGCAGTGTTTGTTGCTCTGTCATGATGGCCTTGTGTGGCGTGATGCGCTGGGAATTTCAGTTAAGTTTCTGATCTTTACAAAGAAAGTGATTATTCCTTGAGTATTCTAATTCACTTTTTAAATTGCAGTGCTTAGAGGCTAGCAAACCAAAGAGTTAAATCCAGTCCTCTTTTATACACTGCATAAACTTTTAATAGAAAAGTTCTATGGTTGCTTCATAGTTGAATTGTTATTTCATAGTAATTATACTTTAACCTACAAGCTAGGTCATGCAATTTAGTTTTCATTCATAGGAAGAAGGCAGCAAATGTCTGAGAATTTTAACCACTGCATTTCCTGAAATTCAATTAATTCATAATACTTTCATTGTAAATAAGAGTAAAGATATTGTTTGACCCTTGTTATAGAGAATTTCTGGATTACACATACAAAAGGATAAAAAATTTGTTTCAATATTATGTTCTTAAAGATAGAGTAGATAATCAATTGGAAATAGTTAATCACTATACACTAGCAATAACATACTCTTAATAGTGAAATTACAATAGTAAGACTAGCTCTTGTGGCAATTGAAGTTAATACAGAAAGCAGGCATAGTACTTCCAGTACTATATTAAATAGGAGTGGTGATAAGGGACATCCTTGTCTTGTTCCTGATTTTAAAATAAAGGCTTTCAATTTTTGGCCATTTAGTATCTTGCTAGCTGTTGGTTTGTCATAAATGGCCTTTATTATATTGAGGTAAAGACCATCTATTCCAATTTTCTGTAAAGTTCCCATCATGAATGAATGTTGGACCTTATCGAAGGCTTTTTCTGAATCTATAGAAATGATCATGTGATTCTTACTTTTGGCTTTATTGATATGGTGGATTACATTTATTGATTTACATATGTTGAACCATCCCTGCATTCCTGGGATGAATCCCACTTGGTCATGATGTATAATCTTCTTGATGATATGCTGCATCCTATTTGCCAATATTTTATTGAGGATTTTTGATCTGTGTTCATTAGGAAGATTGGTCTATAGTTCTCTTTTTTCATGGGTTCTTTCTCAGGTTTTGGTACTAGAGTAATATTTGCTTCCCGGAATGACTTAGGAAGGATTGCTTCCCTTTCAATTTCAATGAATAGTTTGAGGAGTGTCAGCATTAGGTCTTCTTTGTATTTCTTGTAGAATTCTGCAGTGAATCCATCTGGGCCTGGGCTCTTCTTTCTAGGTAAGGACTTAATTACATTTTCAATTTCATTAACAGAGATTGGGTTATTCAGCAGTTTTACATCCTCTTGATCTAGCTTTGGTACTTGATATGTTTCTAGGAATCTGTTTATTTCTGTGTTATCAAACCTTTGAGAGTAGAGGTTTTCGAAATAGGTGTTGATGATCTGCTGTATTTCTGTAGAGTCTATAGTGATTTCACCTTTTTTATTTCTTATTGCATGAATTTGAGCTTTTTCTTCCCTTTTTTAATAAGGTTGGCTAGGGGCTTATCGATTTTATTTATTCTTTCAAAGAACCAACTCTTTGATTCGTTGATTCTTTGGATTGTTTTCTTAGTCTCTATTGCATTGATTTCTGCTCTGATTTTTATAATTTCCTCTCTTCTTTTGGCTTTGGGCTTGACTTGCTCTTCTTTTTCCATGCTGTTTGAGGTGTAGCATCAGGTTATTTATTTGTATTCATTCTGTTTTCCTGATTGTGGGAACTCAGTGCAATAAATTTTCCTCTGAGGACGGCTTTCATTGCATCCCACAGATTCCGGTAATTTATATCTGTATTTTCATTTTCTTTAAGGTATTGTTTAATTTCTTCTTTAGTTTCCTCTGTGACCCATTGATTACTCAATAGTGGGTTATTCAGTTTCCATGTGTTTGTGGGATTTTTGCATTATCTTTTACATTAATTTCTAATTTCAAAGCGCTATGATCTGATAGCATGTAAGGGATGATTTCAACTCTTTTGCATTTGTTTAAATGTGTTCTGTGAGCTAATATATGGTCTATTTTAGAGAATGACTCATGCACTGCTGAGAAGAACGTGTATTCTGATGTTTTTGGGTAGAACATTCTGTATACGTCTATCAAGTCCATTTGTTTACAGGTGTGATTCAGTTCTGTTATTTCTTTGCTCATTTTCTGTCTGGTTGATCTCCCTTGGTGTCAATGGTGTGTTAAGGTCTCCTGTTACAATTGTGTTATTTGTAATTTGAGTTTTCATTTCTATTTATAATTGTTTTATATAACTGGGTGCTCTGGAGTTTGGTGCATATATATTTAAGATAGTTATATCTTCCTCTTGGAGTTTTCCCCTAACGAGTATGTAGTGACATTATTTGTCCTTTATGATCAATGTTGGTTTAAAGTTCACATTGTCTGCAAACAGAATGGCTACTTCTGCTTTTTTTTGGATTCCTGTTGTGTGAAGTATTGTTTTCCATTCTTTGACTTTCAGTCTGTTAGTATCCTTCTGGGTTAGATGGGTTTCCTGTAAACAGCATATGGTTGGATTTTGTTTCTTGATCCACTCTGCTAATCTGTTTCTTTTGATTGGTGCATTGAGACCATCTGCATTAATGATTATATCTGTTTTTTTTTTCCTGAGGTTAGAATTTGGTTATAACTGTTATATGCTGGTTTATTGTTTTCATGTTATCTCTCTGCTGTTGCATCTTTATTTTTCTGTTCTGTTTAATTATCTGCTTTGTTTAGTGGTTTTATCCTTTGTGTATCTAACCTGTCTCTCAATATTTTTTGCTGGGTTAGCTTGGTGTTCATGAAGTTCTCTCAGCTGTTCCTTGTCATGGAAGTATCGTATTTCACCATTGATTTTGAGTGATAGTTTTGCAGAGTACATCAGTCTAGGTTGGACATCATTTTGCTTTAGGATCTGGAATACTATACTGCATACTCTTCTTGACTTTATTGTTTGTGCTGAGAAGTCTGCTGTGATTCTGATAGGTTTTCCTTTATAAGTGATCTGTGTTTTCTCTTTGACAGCTTTTAATAATCTATTCTATCTTTTTGTTTAGTTCCTCCATTTTTTTAACTGTGTTTTCTTTAGATATATTCAGAATCTCTTTCATTTCTTTTATCATTTCTTCTTTTACCTGGGAGATTATTTTGATTTTGAATTCCTTTAAAGCTTCCTGGAGTTGCTTCTTAATTTCAGTAGCTATTATGTCTGATATGTGTGGTGTGTGGCATATATTTTCTTCGATATACATCGCTCCTAGGATTTCTTGAGATGGGCTGGAGGTTTGAGGTTGTCACTTGGTCTTTCATTTTGTCATTTTCCTATATTTCTGTATTTCAAGTGTATTTGAAAGCTTCCTCAGGGTCTGTTGGAAATCCACTTCTATGTTCACAGCTCCTGGGACTCTGCCACCCAGTTCCTCCAGGCCACTGAGCCTCTAGAACTAGTGGCCCTCTTCTGCCTGTTTAGAACTCCGTAGTTCTAGATAAGCTGGGTTCCAAGGACACTGTGCACCCGCCTGCTTGCCAGAAACTCCACAGTTCTCCGAGCGCAGCCAGAATGGGGAGGCAGATGTAGGTGCCTCAGACCCACTTAACCACTTCACTGCACCCGGAAGCCTGGAGGTCCCCAAACAGTCTGAGCTTGGGGCAGAGTTCACTGGGCACTTACTGCAGGCCGCTGGGCCTCCGGAACTGGTGATGCTCACCTGCTTGCTGAGAAATCCACAGTTGTCCAGACACATGGGAGGGCAGAAGCCGAGTGATACTGATTTTTGAGTATTGATTTTTGTATCCAGCTATATTGCATAATTTATTTAATGTATCTAGGAGTCTTTCAATGGAGTTTTGAGAGTCTTCTATATACAGTATCATGTCATCTGCAAACAATGATAATTTAATTTATTCTTTTCCTATCTTAACCCCTTTTATTTCTCTTTCTTGTCTAATTTCTCTGTCTAGTATTTCCAGTACTATGTTGGATAGGAGTGGTGATAAGGGACATCCTTGATTTGTGCCTGATTTTAAGATAAAGGCTTTCAGTTTTTGGCAAGTTAATATGATGCTGGATGTTGGGTTGTCATAGATGG